CGGTTTTCACGGTTGTGTTCTCCTTTTCTCATAATTGTACGTTTTCATTCTGACGTCCCTTCTTGCCAGATTTCTCTACCCCTTTTCGTAGGATTTCTAGTTATTTGACCCTCTCTCTTCAAGCCTGCTGTGCCTTCAGGTTCATCCACAGCTCCGCGTTCTTGGGACTCTGCACTTTCCCTAACCTGAATTGTAGGCTCACTAGACTTAGACATTAGTAATCACTACTTTAAAGTGACTCACTTTTATAAACAGCAAAATGCAGTTAAACCTTTTAATGAACTTTCAACACTTACTCAAATGTAAGTGGGACTTAAATGTACCCTATAAGACTTAAACTTGTTTCAATAGAGGTAGAAATGAACTTAAAATAGAAAATGTGCAAAAAACAGCTTAATTGAACTTTAAACCTTTCAAAAATATACTCAAAGATAAGACTTCAGAACTTCAACGAAATAACTTTCACTTATTATTCCCAAAAACACATTTTGAATTAGAAATAAAAACACGTATTTTCCGTTTAACTTTATGCCTTAATTAACAAGCCTTAATAAAATGACATGAGCAAATATGTCAAAACGCTAACCACACACACTACTATAGTTGGCACTCACAGTAATAACAGTTTAGCAAACCTTTACAGAAGCCCTCTACTCAGATCACTCTTGATTTCTTAGTGTCCAAGTTCTTTATGGCTCTGTCTTGAAGCGTTGCTCTTTTAAAAACTGCGCGCGTCGTCCACTTCTGTGTGTGCATGCGTAGTTTCTCCTCCGTCGGCCATTTGAAGACAGCCTCGTGCTCAGTCCATGATCCTCTGAAGTTGCCGCTTCGTCAATTAACGGCCCGTCCACACAGCGGCGTGCGTTGACGCTTGGCGGTGGGCGTATCTGAAGCTTGGGGATTTTTTGCGAGCAACGCGACCAACAACCAATCAAATGAATCTCCCGCCCCCGACATACAAAGCAATAGCAATGTTAAAACGAAGTAAACTGGATATAAAATCCCCAAACAGGTGAAAACCTACCAGTTTCACCCACTGTCTCTGCCACCTCCCTCCATGCCTGGCTCCTCCGGTTTGTATCCCGGTAGATGAACAGAGACTGATCAA